GTCACTTGTCCCTTTCCACTGAAGTGTTTTGGAATCACAGCTCTGAGTTTTGCACAGCTCCTTTTGCTTTCCCTTAGGAACAGACTCTGATCTTGCTTGTTGTGATCTTCCCATCTGGGCAAAGAGACTTTTGAGCTCTCCCTGGAGGGTGCTGCCCTCAGAAAATCAGGATAAAAATCCTGTGCCATCCTCAGGGAGAGCCAGAAGGGGTTTGGGAAAGGTGATATCCGACTTTAGGGCAGATCCAGCAGTATCCAACAGCCTTTGGATGAATTTGGGATGTGTCCAGGCTGCCAAGCTGGCTCAGCTCCCACAGCCTCTCAAAACAGGCAGCCCATGGATGCAGTCCCGGTTTTTTGGGGACTCTACAAAGAGGATGAGAGGCTGGAGGAAGCCAAAAATAACTGTGCTGTTTGTGAGCACAGAAAGGGAATTGTTGGATTTCTGTGCTCCTTTGTGGAGCCGCCGCTCGAGCCGTGGATCGTGGAGTGCTGGGAAAGGCTGAGCACAAAGAGAACTCTGTGCTGCAGCTCCCCTGCACGGGGTCATCCCAAGGAAATCCTTTCCCTGGTTTCTTTAGGGATTGTGGGAGATCTGCACACAACTCACCTTGGTTTTGGCTTTTTGGATGCGTTTTTTTAATTCATCCTTCATCAAAGCATCCATTTGTCAATTTAAATACTGAATTATCTTTTAGATTTATATTGAGGGGAAATGGAATTTTGCTTATAGGATGTGTTCCTCCAAAGGGATAATTCCTCCTTATCTCCCGCTCCCCTGGCATAAACTTGGTATTTTTGGGTGGAAAAAGTGCTTTGTGTTGCACCAAACCACCCTCAGTGCCTTGAGCTCTCCCAGCACAAACCTTGGGAAATTCCAATTTTTGTGTCACCACTTCCCCAATCCCATGAGCCCTCCTTGCAGGTCAGGAGGCCAGAAGGAGCAGGAGTGTTACTGCTACCAGATATTTATGGATAAACAGGAGGATTTGGTGGTTCCTGATGTGCAGCAGTTGGTGGAACGTTCATTCCTGTCCTCGGATCTGAAGCTGGTGGAGGTGAGTCCAGTTTCCGTCTGCTTTCCTGCTTTTCTCGCTTCCCAAAATACCTGTGAGGCCTTGGATGTTTTATATCCAACACTGAATCCAGGCATGACTTAGGAAAAGGCCTCTGTTTTCCCTGTTTCCCTTTTCCCCTGTGAATAATGACAGCAAATTTAGAGAAAAATCTCTGGGATTTGGCTCTTCTGGCAGGGTGACTCCTTTCCCTTTTTTTTTTCCCCCCCCCCAGATCCCGTCTTGCTTCATTATCCAAATGCCACGTTTTGGGAAGGAATATAAAATGTTCAGCAAAATTATCCCTTCCTTGGAGCTGGATATAACAGATCTGCTGCTGGACAGTGAGTGATGGATGATGGGCTGTAAGCAACCAGCTCTGGGCTCTCTGGGGTGGGATTCTTCTTCCTTGAGTCCCAGTTTTGGCAAGACGAGCTGGATTTTAGGTGGGATCTGGAGGAGACACTCCCTCTGAGCTCTGTTTCCCTGGCAGGTCCCAGGGAATGCTGCCTGTGTGGAGATGTTGCCACTCTGGAATGCTCGGAGTGTTTCAAGGACAAGGTGTTTGCAGCCACGGGTCTGAAGCAGTTCTGCAGCTCCTGCTCCAGACAGGTATTTCATGGCTATTCCCAAAATCTACCTGGGAAGCTGTCAGCTGAATGAACCCTCCCAAAATCCCCACATTTCCCTGGCTGTCCCTGCAGCTGCTCAGGTTGGGCACGGAGCAGCCCTTTCCTGAGGGTCATTCCCACCAGGAGCCAGAGGCTGTGAACCCTCTGCTTACACAGAGCCTAAATAATAATGGAATCATAGAAAAACTTGGATTGGAAAGGACCTTGAAGCTCATTCCAGTTCCACCCCCTGGGTGCTGTTCACTATCCCAGGTTGCTCCAAGCTCTGCCCTACCTGGCTTTGGACAAGTCCAGGGATGGGACATCCACAGCTTCCCTGGACAACCTGTTCCATAAATAAGGTGTAATCCTGGAGGAACTGAGTGCTGATTTCTCCCTGCTGCCTCTCCATGAGCATTCCCACAGTTTCTGCCTCATGGAGGGTGACAAGCTCCCATTTCAGCAGCTTCCTGCTGCCAGGCTGTTCCCACAATGCCATTCCCAGGCAAGCAGGGAGCACGGGAATCACATCAGCAGGGAATAAATTTGGAATCTGACCTCTTTCCCTTCTTCCTGGCAGGCCAGGGCCAGTCCTGCCAATGTCACCCTGTCCCCTCTCCTCAGGTTCACTCCCATCACCGCCGCAAAGCACACAAACCCAGGAGGCTGCACATTCCAGAGGAATTCCAGAGCTGGAGCGCCCGGGGCTGCCAGCAGGTCCCACGGGAGAAGCTGGAGCTGTTTGCAGTGCTCTGCATCGAGACCAGTCACTACGTGTCCTTCGTGAAATACGGCCCTGGGAACGAGCACTGGATGTTCTTTGATAGCATGGCCGACCGGCATGGTGAGGGAATGGGATGTGGGAATGGGATGTGGGAATCTGCCCGGGGCTGCTCAGCCCACCTTTTCCCTTATTCCCCTAGAAGTTCCCCTATTTAGGCTTTCTCTGGGTTTGGCTTTCCTTTAATTAGATTCCAGAGAGGCCAAGCCAAGCAGGTGGGAGTTTTTCCAGCTTCTGGTTGTGGTCAAACAAGGGATTTGAGATCCCATCCCAGCTGGCTCAGCCTGTGTGCACAGATTGTTCTCCTCTCCTTCCCCACTGTGCTTTTATCATGGAATGGTTTGGGTTGGAAGGGACTTTAAAACTCATCCAGTTCCAGCCCTTGCCATGGCCACCTTCCACTATCCCAGGTTGCTCCAAGCCCCATCCAAACTGGCCTTGGACACTTCTAGGGATGCAGCAGCCACAGCTCCTCTGGGAATTCTATTTCAGCTCCTCATTACCTTCACAGGGAAGAATTCCTTCCCAATATCCCATCTATCCCTGCCCTCTGGCACTGGGAAGCCATTCCCTATGTCCTTTCCCTCCATATCTTGTCCAAAATCCTTCTCCAGCTCTCCTGGAACCCCTGTAGGTTGAAAGGTCTCCCCTCATCCGGCCTCTTTCAGTGCTTTTGGCCTCCACATCTCCCAGTTGAGGCTCTGCATGACTCTTGAGTGTGCTGGGATCTGCTGGAGCTGTAGGAACCCATCCCTTTGGGATCTGGTTTGGGACTTTTCCTCCTTTCCAATTTAGGTGGTGAAAACGGCTTCAACATTCCCACGGTGACACTGTGCCCAGAAGTTGCCAAATACCTGGACTTGCCTCTGGCTGTGCTGGCCCTGGAGCAGCCTCGGGACATGGATGGGGTGGCCAAACGCCTCTTTTGTGATGCCTATATGTACCTGTACCAGAGCAGGAAAATGGCACTTTACAAGTGACACCATCCCAGGCCGATGTCATGGAGCAACAACAGGAATGGGAGCTTGGATCATTCCAGAAGGTGGAAGCATCCGAGTCTGGATGCTCTGAGCTGCCTCTTCTCACCTCTCTTGATGTCAAATTATCCAAGTCAGGCTGGGTTTGTTAAATCCTGGCTTTATCCAGTGGTACTTGGTCCTTGGGCACAGCTGGAGCTGGAATTACTGATGCTGAAATTCATTTTCATTCCCCACATTCCACAATTCTCCCTCTCTGGATATTCTGCAGCTGGAGTGTCCCCATATCCTTGTTTCCCTGCCATCCCTTCCTTCCAAAGCTGGGGACCAGCAGAAATCAGAACACAAGGAATTATCCACAGGTTTACCAGGAAACCACGACCTTCCCTAAAACATCCTCACCTGGATTTGTGGAGTGAGGAAAATCAGGTCAGGATCGATTTTCCTCACCTGTGTCCCTCAATTCCCTGCACTTCCTTAATCCAGCACTAACTGGCACTTTTTCCCACCACCCCTTATTTCCAATCATGGATATCCTGAGCTGAAGCTATGCTTTAAAAATAAGTATTTTTCCAAGAACAAAACTGGAAGGAGGATGGGAGCAGAGGAGAAACATCTGGGCTCCTGCTACTTCCTCTTTTTGGCAAAATCTGCAGAAGATTCAGTGTTCCAAGCTCACTTTTAGCACTTTTTGTCCCATCTTTGCATCCACTTCCAAGTTCTGGGGTCAAATACCAGAATTCCAAGGGCAAAAATGGAAAAAAATGAGAACTCTGGGATTTTCTGCAGGAAGTTTTAGGGTTTGGGTAGGAACTGGTGTTCCTTAAGTTAAATAAATTTGCAAACTTGGGGGTTCTCTGCTATTAAATGGGAATTTGTACTGGTGTCAGTGGGATGCCCGAATTCCACAAAAACCTCAAGGAAAGCATCCAGGAATACCAGGAATCCCATTTCTGCTCTTTTTTCCCCCCTCTTTAATGCAGAGTGGAGTAATTTTAACAAAGCCTGGAGCTTTGGATGGGTCCTGGTTGGGCTTGAGATCTTTCTGGCATTCCAATTGTTGCCAGCAGGTCCTGGAAGGATTCTTTTCCTCTGCTCAGCTCTGATAGGTCACACCTGGAATACTGGGTCCAGATTGGAGCTCCCCAGTACAAGAGAGACAAAATCCAAGGGAAAACCACAGAGATGATGTAGGGACTGGAGCATTTCCTATGAGGAGGGGCTGAAGGAGGTGGAATTGCCCAGCCTGGAGAAGAGAAGGCTCAGGAAATCTCCTCAATATTCATAAATATGTGAGGAGAAAGTGCAAAGACACCCAGGAGCTTCTCTGCCCACCAAAATGGCTCCTAAACATCAGGAATTGCATCTTATCCATGACAGTGACAAGTGCTGGCACAGGTCCCTCTCCTTGTTCTTCATTCCTCCTCTCCCAAAAACTCAGGAAAATCTCTCCTCAGGTACAACGGATTCCTTATCTTTGGTGCTTTGCTTAAAAAAAAAAAAATCTAATTTATAGCAAACTGATCCTGGATTTCCTGGAGTTTTTTTTTCCTGTCTTAAAATGGGATACAATGCTGTTGGAACTACCAGAAATCTGGGACCATCAGGCCATGCTTCATTAAGCTCTTAATTACTTTCTTCATTGTAATTTCTGCCAAGATCCAAACCTTGGAAGGGAGGGTGGGCAGGGAAGCCACAGGTTTGATCCCTGGTGATTTCCCTCTCACCTTCCCATTCCCAATGGAACTCCAAAGGGTTTTTCACTGGAATTAGGGTCAGAGCCATTGTGGGAAAAGGCCTTTAGTTTATTTTTTTTTTGCTTAGTCTGAAGCTCGGTGCGGGTTAGAGACACGTTTCTCGTGGGAACAGGGGTGAGAGAGTGCAGGTGGCAACCTGGAGCTGGGATCAGCCTGGAGCCAGCCTCCACATCCCAGGGAATTTGGCCAGAATGGAAAGAGTTGGAATGTGGCCACAGAGACGAAGCTCAGAATTGCCAAAGCAAAGAGTGTCTGCCACGGGTATCCCATGAGTGTCCCATGTCACCCTTTTGGTGGCACTCCAAGCTTTGTTCTAGTGCCACCAAGGAGCTTCAGGATGGGGAGCCACCACAGAGGGCACTGGGCTGGCAGGGCCACCAAGGAAGGCACAGGAGTGGCAGGGCCACCAAGATAAGGCACAAGGCTGGCAGGGACACCAAGTTAGGCACAGGACTGTCACTTCCAGGGGATGCAGGGACAACTCTGCCTTCCCCATCCCTGTGTTCCCATCTTCCCTACTGGGACCCCAGGGCACTCTCCCAGTTCCTGCAGGTTCCTCAGGTTTACACCAGGCAGCGGAAAGGCCTAAATTAGAGTCGTTAATTCCTAACGAGGCACCTGGGCTTCCCAAAAAAAGCACAGAGCAGGAGCTGGGGATGAGCAGGGACCCCCTCAGTGGCTGCCCTGACGCAGCTCCAGGAAGAGCCGGTGCAGCCGTTCCGTCACAGCCACCTGGGAATGGGAACAAGAGGGGTCAGGGAGCAGCTCCATGGTGGTTTTGCTCAGGCCACCAAATCCAGTGGCATTCCCAGGTTTGTGACAGTGGGAATGTGCTGGATGTGGGAAGTGCTGGACGTACCGGGTAGGGCTGTGGCTCGTGGAGCCGGCGGTGAGCGGGGCTGAGCAGGTTGAGGGACACCTGGGCATGGGTCCTCACCTCGGGCAGGCTGGGGAGGGGCTCACACACCTGCAGGGATGGAGATCCATGTGGGAAGATCCACGTGGGAAGATCCATGCAGGAAGACACCACCCAGCACCAATCCCAACGAGCCATCACATCCGGGTTGGCACCGGAGTTGTTGGCACATCTCAGAAGCCACCCTTGATCCATCCCCCAGTATGGAAGAAGAGACCTCCCAGGAAATGGGACCAGCCCTGACCTGGCCATCCCTGAAGTAGGTGCGATGGAGGGGCTCCACAGTGGTGGGAATGACCTTGGTGGTCTCCTCAAGCCGCCCCAGGACACGGATCCCCAGCTCCTGCCCTGCACTGGGTGACGGCTCCTCTTCCAGGGCCATGAGGTCCATGAAGGGGTGGCCTGCCAGGAGGGCATCAGGAAGAGAGTTATGGAGCAGGAGATTCCCCCAGGACTCTGGGAAGGGTCTCCAGACTCACCAGCAGCGTCATAGAGCCGATAGATTGCCTTCATCCCTGGGATTGTCATCTTCTCCTCATCCTCCGTGAGCTTCAGGCATGGGGAGCCATTGACTTCTACCAGCTGTGGAAGAAGGGAAGGGAACCTGTGACCCTTTTGGGGAGACCACTCATGTAAAGCAGCTGAAAAAAGACAAAAAACCCCAAAACCACCCTAAAGTTGGGCATTCTGCCTCCTCCTGCCTGTGGAGAACTTGGAGCTTCTGGTGGGTAAAGAACTGGCCACGACCCAATGCTGGCACCTGGAACTTGGTGTTCTGGGCTGATCCCCCAGTGTGGGCAGCAGAGGAGGGGGGAATTCTGCCCCTCCACCCTGCTCAGGTGAGATCCCACCTGCAGATCTGCTCCAGCTCTGTGATCCAACATCAGGAGGATGTGGAGCTGCTGGAGCAGGTCCAGAGGAGTCCATGGAGATGCTCCGAGGGATGAAGCCCCTTCCAGTGCCTAAAGGGGCTCCAGGAGAGCTGTAGAGGGACTTTGGACAAGGGATGGAGTGACAGGACACAGGGAATGGCTTCCCACTGCCAGAGGGGAGGGATAGATGGAATACTGGTAAGAAATTCCTCCCTGTGAGGGTGGTGGGGGGCTGAAATGTAATTCCCAGAGAATCTGTGGCTGCCCCATCCCTAAAAGTGTCCAAGACGGGGCTTGGAGCAACCTGGGATAGTGGAAGGTGTCTCTGCCCATGGTGGTGGAGGACCTTCAAAAATCCCTTCCAAGGCAAATTCTTTTGTGACTCTGTGACTCCAGTGGGGCTGGATGGCCATGGAGCAGGTGTGGACCACCTGGAAGTGGCTCAGCAAGGACTGGGATATCTGGGATTCAGGCTGTACCTTGTAGACACAGCCCAGCGATGGCTGCAGGGGACACGTCACCAGGTTGGTCCCGATGCCGATCATGTCGATCTCGCTCCCCTGAGGCAGCAGAGAAAACAGAGACCATCAACATCCCAGCCCTACCTGCACCAGGGACAGCCCAGGTGACATCCCAGCCCTGCCAGCACCACCCGGGTGACATCCCAGCTGTGCCAGTAGGTTCCTCACCTCCCTCCTGAACTCCTCCAGGCTCTGCTCGCTGATGTCATTGCTGACAGCGATAGGGATGGTCCCAAACCAGGGCACCTGGAAGCTGGAAGGAACAGGATTTGGGACGATCTATGGATCTGTCTGCACCACCCAGAGCCATTAGGGCTCCCAGATCCTGGCAGAATGAGGAGCTGGGTGCGGGTGAGGATGACAAGGATCAGTGACATCCATCCCAGAACTGGCGTGGGACTCACTGAGCTCCGCAGGCTCGGAACACTTCCCGGATTTCCTTGGATTGCTGGGCCAGGTCCCCGCTGTCCAGGCGCACTCCAATGGCCTGGTATCCCAGCTGGTGCAGTGCCAAGGCCACAGCACAGAAATTGGGCAAACCACTGCTGGCATGGGCAAGGAAAGCATTAATGACAGCTGGGACACGGATCCAGGGTGGATCCAGCAGCATTTCCAAGCCCTGTGCCAGCCAATATTCCTACTTCAAGGCCACCAACGAGGAGGGACATCCATCCCCTGTGCCATGGTCCTCACCTCCTGACACAATAGGTGTCCAGCAATCCCTGGAAGTCACACGGGAAGGTGACAGCGTAGGACACGAAGGCGGCCAGCTCGCCCTGGTTGGTCTTGCCAGGAGGAGTCTGGAGCAGGTCACAAACGCGCTGCAGCCAGGACACAGCCAGGTCTGCGAGATCCACGGGATCTCCTCCCGCCTGAGGCAGCAGCTCCTGCCAGGGGAACATGGGATTTGCACAGCCTGTGGCATTAGTCAAGGTGCCAGGAGTGTGGGAACAGGTGGAGTGTTCCATTCTCCATCCATCACCATACTCTAATCCCCGTCTGCATTCCCATTCCATCCCTATTTCATCCCACATCCCATTTGCCACCCGTATTCACATTCCCATCCCACATCCCTATCCCATCTCCTCCCATCCCTAACTCCATACAAACCCCATCCCACTTCCCTCTGCCCATTCCTATCCCCATCCTAATCCCAACCCACATCCCATCTTCATCCACATCCCATCCTCAACCCCATTCAATCCCTACCCCATTCAATCCTCATCTTATCCCATCCCAAACCATTCCATCTCTGTTCCTTTCCCCTTCTACATCCCCACCCCCATGAGATATCTATCCCATCCTCATTCCACCCTTATCTGCACTCCCATCCCTATCCTCATCCTACTCCCATACAATATTCATCCCCATCCCATCCCACTCCCATACAATATTTATCCCCAACCCATCCCCATCTCAATCCTACCCCCTCCCCATTCTTTTCCCCTTCTACATTCCCACCCCCATGAGATCTCTATCCCATCCTCATTCCACCATTACCTGCACTCCCATCCCTATCCTCATCCCACCCCCATCCAATATGCATCCCCATTCCCAGTCCCATTCCCATCCCAGGCACCGCTCACCCGCGGCTGCACCTCCTCCAGGCACCGGAAGGACATGACAAAGGAGTGAGCGATGGTGCCGCGCACGGGAATTCCGTAGAGTTTTCCCGCCAGGATGTTGCTGGTGCAGTCGAACCCTGCGAGGAGGGACGGGGGGGACACGCAGGTGACGGCAGGGCCGCGGTGGCACCGGGCGCTGCGGGGCGGGACTCACCCCCGATGTAGGAATATTTGGATGCCGACAGGGCTCCGTCCGGCCCCTGCGCACGGCGCAGCCCCATCTCCATCAGCTTCATGTCCGGGCCGGCGAGGAGACGGAATCTGGCAGCGTTGGTGGCCACCAGGCTGTGGGGACAAAAAGGGACAGGTGACACGGAGCCAGCAAAGCCAAGGAGAAGGGGGTCCAGGACTCTCCTTGCTTGGATGAGGCAGGGATCACTATGGGACTCGGTGGACAGGGATGTGGTGGAGTTGACTAAGAGGATCTTGGGGGATAGGGAGATCCTAAGGGTGACCTGTCCATCTCTCAGGAGAACCTGGGGATAAGGAGGCCTTTCAGGGAACCACAGGGTGAGCTGGACATGGAAAGTCCTCAGGAAAACTTGCGGGGGACAGTGGTACATCCTCCAGTTGTTAAATTCAACTGGTGGAATTCCAGCAGTTAAATTCCAGCAGGGGACTTGTGGGGTCACTGTACCCCTAGGACTGGGGTGTCCCCAGCCTCACATCTCCCTCTGGATTGGGGGGTGTTGCACTTCCCTGCCCCTCGCCATCTTCCAGGGGCCTTGGGATCATCCCCATCCCAAAATACCTGGCATAGTTGACCAGGCACAGCAAGGTGGTCTCCAGCAGCTGCACCACCAAGAGCGGCCCCTTCACCTGCAGGAACGGCACCTGTGGGAACAGCGGTGACATCCCAGTCCCTCTGGAACAGGGAGGACCTGGGAAAGGCAGGAATGGGGGTCCTGGGGATCCCAGAGTCAAGGAAAAGGGAAGGCCTGGGCCTGGGAGAGGTGGGATGGTCAGGAAAGGGGTTGCAGAGGGATACTGGTGAAGGAAAAGGGGGTACAAGGGGATCCCAGTGCCAGGGAAGGGGGTGCAGGGGGATCCTGTTGTCCAGGAATGAGGGTCCAGATTGTCCCTGTGCCTAGGAAAGGGGTTCCAGGGGTTCCCAGTGTGAAGGAAAAGAGGGGTCATGGGGTGGGGACACCCAGGATGGCCAGGACAGGGGTTCAAGGGGTCCATGGTGTTGAGGAAAGAGGGGGTGGGAATTGGGGGTTGGGAAGGTGAGGATGGAGATCAAGGAGCTCCCAGGGTCAGAGGAAAGGGGGGCACTGGGAAAAGCAGGACTGGAGTTTCAGGGGATCCCAGGTTCAAGGAAAAGGGGAGATATGGTAGCTGGGAGAGGTGGGATAGTCAGGAAAGAAGACGGAGGGAGGTCCCACCCTGGGAAAGACGACAGAGCCCTCGGGAATGGCGGTGACGGTGACCTCGGAGGCGTCCAGGGTGGCCAGGTAGTCAAAGAAGGCGTCGTCTGTGGTGCTGGGCAGGACAGAGCGCAGGTACGCGACATCTGCAGGGACAGCACGGTGACACCAGGGACAAGGGACACAGGGGGAGGACACTGAGCCTCCCATGGACAGGTGGGTGACAGCAGGTGGGTGACAACACTGCCAGCACGGAGCAAGACTGGAGGGGTTGGCACAAGTTCCCTCTGAGGGACATCTCTGAAGGGTGTCCCTGTGTCCTCCTAAGTTTCCCTGAGGGCTCTTCATGTCCACCCCGGCCATGCGCCCCCTGAAGGGTCTCCCTCTCCCCAAAGTCCCTCTGAGAGATGGCCCTGTCTCCTTATGAGTTGTCCTGATCCCCTGAAGTCCCCCGGGGGGGTTTCCCTGTCCCCCAAGTTCCCCTCAGATGCTGTCCCTCTCCCCCACCGTAGGTCCCCAGTCCCCCAGGTCCCTCCCCAAGTCTCCCTGCGGGGTTCCCGTCCCCGGATCACTGAGAGATGTCTCTGTCCCCTTAGGTCCCCCTGAAACGTCCCCAGACACCCCTGGATGCTCTCCCATCCCTTACAAGTTCCCTTGAGTTGTTCCCCCATCTTGCCCGGGGGGAATTTTCCCCCTTTCCCCCTTGTCCTTCCCACCGCTCCCCGCTGTCCCTTCCTGACCCTCTACCCAGTCCCCTTCCGTCCCCTGGAATTGTTCCAAAGCCTTCCTGGGAAGATTCCCTTCCCCCTCTCCCAACACTTCTCCCGTCCCTTCCTCATCCTCCCCCCGGTCCCCTCCTGTCCCCACTGTCCCCTTGAGTTCTTCCTCTCTCCCTCCCCCTTGACCCCTCCCCACAACACTGCTCCCGTCCCTTCCTTATCTTCTCCTTCCTGGAGTTGTTCCCCTATCCCGCCAAGTCCCACGGGGACGGTCCCCTCGCCCACCACTCCTCCCTATACAACCCTGTCTCTGTCCCTCTTGTCCCTCGCTGTCGCCACGCACCGGCAGCGGAGAAGCGGAAGGCTCGGAGCCCCCGCAGCCCCTCGGCCAGGCCGGCCCCGAGCGCGAAGGAGCCGCGGAAGGGCGGGCGGCGGAAGAAGAGCTCGGCGGCGGCCGGGGCACGGTGTCGCCCAGCCCGCCAGTGCCCGTAGGCCATGGACACCTGGTACAGGTCTGCCAGCGGCGCCATGGCGGGGCGGGGATACGGGGACAGGGGAGGGGACACGGGGTGGGGACGGGGGAGGAACGGCCAAATAGGAGGGATGCGGAAGCACGGGGTGGGAGGGCGCGGGGATGGCAGGATAAGAGGGATACGGGATGGCGACACGGGGACACGAGGGTGGCAGCACAAAGAGGACACGGGCCAGAGTCGGCGACACAGCTAGACACGCGGGGTGGCAGCGCGCACAGTGGATGGCAGAAGAGGGAGGATACAGGGACAGTGAGACACGGGGAACAACGGGGACAGGGAACTAGGGATAACACGTGGGGGACAGAGATGGTGATACAGGGGACACGAGACAAAAATGGCAACACACGGGTGACAGTGGCATGGCGACCGACGCAGGACACTGGGCACAGGGATGGTGGCCCATGGCGGACACAGGACACCGGGGATGGCAGCGCACACAGGGGACACACCGGTGACATGACACAAATGGGACACAGAGGGCACGCGTGGCACCAGCTGTGGCAGCACCTGGGCCAGCAGGGACTCAGGATGGCAGCACAGGGGACAAGTGGCATTCCCAGCAGTGCTCTGGGGGTGGCAGGAGCCTGCGAGGGACACGTGTCACATATCGAGTGACTGGCCCCACCAGGACAAGGGACAGCCTTGCAGCACAATCCCGTGTCCCTTGGTGGCCCCAGACCTTGGACTCTGGCACTGGGACAGACCTCATATTCCCAAAGTCAGGAATGTCACCTGTGCTCTCCTCAACTTAAGTGACCTGGGCAGGGAGTTAGTGGGCAAAGAGGCATGAAATCCATCCAAACCAGCAATTCCTGGATGCTTCCTGGTTATTCATCCTGGATTTTTGTAGGGAGTGACTGGGGTCTCTAAACTTTGGGAAAGGTGACTGGAAAAACCCAGAGACCTTTATTCCAGCCCCCAAATTCAGGTCTATGTCTTGAGACCTTTCCTTCTATGAAGGATGGGGAAATCATGGAAAGGTTTAGGTTGGAAGAGACTTTAAATATCTCTCATTCCAATCCCCTGTAATGGGCAACCTTACACTAACCCAAGTTGCTCAAATATCCCAAAGTCTCCCCACAGATCCCCCTGAAGAAGCTGCACTTGAGGGAAAAAACCCAGGACCCAACATGCACTCCCACTGTTCATCTTTATTAATTCCGGGTTCGGAGGACGGGGATACAGTTTATCCTTCTAAATCTTGTTAAAAGCAGCAATATCCACGCTCTGCACCTGGAAGGGGACAAAAACTGGAGTCATCCAGGAGTTCCCAGGAAAACATACCCTGAGTTAACCCCCTCCCCTGGGTTCCAGGCCCTTCCCACATCCCATTCCAACACTTACATAGTCCTCAAACTTGGTGATCTCCTCCTCCAGGATGTCTGTCCCGACTTTCTCATCCTCCACCACACACTGGATTTGGAGTTTCTTGATTCCATATCCAACTGGGACCAGTTTGGAGGCTCCCCAAACCAGCCCATCCATGTGGATGGACCGGACACATTCCTCCATCTTGGCCATGTCAGTCTCGTCATCCCACTGGAAAAATGGGAATTGGGAGGTTTTAGTGTTTTCCTGGACATCGTCAGCAGCTCCAAGGGGTATCCAGGTGACACCTCTGGGAATGTCACAACTGATCCCAAACGCCCCTTCTTGGCTGGGGAAGGCTCCAAAGACCTCAGAGCTACTTCCAATGCCTCAAGAAGATCCAAGAGAGCTGGAGAGGGACTTTGGACAAGGATGGAGGGTCAGGACAAGGGGGAATGGTTTTAAACTGGAATAGGGTGAGATTAGATGGGATTTCGGAAGGAATTCCATGGTGTGAGGGTGGTTAGGGGCTGGAATGGAATTCCCAAAGAAGCTATGGCTGCCCCATCCCTGGAAGTGTCCAAGGCCAGGTTGGAACAACCTGGGATAGTAGAAAGTCTCCCTGCCTATGGAATGAGATGAGATTTAAGGTCCCATCCATCCAAACCCATTCCAGGCTTCTACAACAACAAAACCCACCCCGCTCCGAGCCCTTGCCTGGAATTCCACAGGTGCCACCACCATCCACTTGGATGAGAGAGGATTCCCAGCCTCACTCCCTGAGCTCCCAAATTCCAAAAGCCTTCACTCACCGGCTTCACATCCAGCAGGATGGAAGACTTGGCAATGAGTCCTGGCTTCTTGGCCTTCTTCTCCGCGTACTGCCGGAGCCGCTCCTCCCGGACTTTGGCAGCTTCCTGGTCTTCCTCCTCATCATCACTCCCAAAAAGGTCAATGTCATCATCCTCATCCTCCTCAGCAGCAGCTGGCTCGGATTTCTTGGCTGGCAGCTCCACTTTTTTGGAGGGAACACTGAACGGTTCCACTTTCTTCACCAGATCCAAGGGTTTTTTAAGGGAAGAAAGAGGGAAAAGATTAACCTGGAGGTGGAGCAGAGCAGCCAAAAAATGCTCAAGAATAGGAATCTCCACTGCTCAGGACACTGAACAATCCTCACGCTGTGGGATTTACATGGATTTATCAAAAAGGACGTTTGGATTTATCCATATAGATCCATATCAGTCCATATAGATCCACATGGATCTTTGGTTATAATTCCTAGAGAAAAAAATCCCAGCATTTTTCCAAGGCTCACCTGGGTTGGAGGAACAGGTGAGGGCTGGTGGGAAGTTGAGGATTTCTCCAGAGCATTCAGGCGGCTTTCCAGCTTGAAAATGGCCATCTGGAGATCTGCAACAACTGGAAAAAAGGAGGGAAAAATAGGGAAAATTACTTTAAATTCCCAGTTGCATGTCAGGTCTCCAGCCAAGACAAGGAATTCTCTCACTCACCACTGCGGAGGTTCTGGTTTTCCACTTCTAGGTGGGAAATTCGGGACAAGAGTTCATTCTGGTCACCAGCAGCTCCAGAGGAGGATGTGCTTGCACTCTGCAACGAGGAAAACCAGGATGAGATTGAGTTGTTTCCCCTCCTCCTAAAAAATCCATGAAGCAAAGCAGAGTCGTGTCTTCAGGGAGGGAGGAAGTTCAGGAGCTGAACTAAAACCAAGGATATTTTCTCTAAATTAGGATAGAAACTAATGGAGCAGCTCTATAAAATGCAGCATAGACTAAATCCCGAGGAATTTCAGCTGGCGCCAAGGAGCAAAGGATAAAATCAGTTTTCCCACTCTCAGATCCCAAAATGCCTCTAAAAACCACATAAAATTTATATAAAATTTCACACCAAGCCCCCTACAAATCTTGGAGTCCTGTGGTCTGCTCTCCCAACCCACTGAGGGACAGAAATGACCTGCCTAAGGTAACTCTGGGAAAGCTGGAAATATCCCAGGAATTCTACACTCCCACCTTCCCCAGCCCAGCTTTTAACTCCTCTCCTAACAATTACAATCTGCTTTAACACATCCTGAGGGAATAATTATTCCAACTCTGGCTTCAAATGGATTTTTTGACAGCAAAAAAAAAGCTTTAGTTTTTTTTTAATGTTAAGGAGGCTCCTTATCCGTCAATTCCAGGCAGCAGAGGGAAAGAAAATAACAGGATTTGCCCTTGAATTGTCATTTCTAAGTGAAAAGAAGAGAGAATAATTTATTCCCTTTCATTCCAATGTGGAATCTCAGCAGTCACAGAAGATGGAAAGAGGGAAAAGCAGGGATAAGATGAAGAATATGAGGCGCAAGGAAAGGTCTGAATCATGGAACGGATTTGGGTTGGAAAGGATTTTAAGGATCACCCAGACCAACACATTCCACAATCCCAGGCTGCTCCAAGCCCTGTCCAGCCTGGCCTTGGACACTTCCAGGGATGAGGCTGGGAAATATCCAAGGGGCAGAAAAACAATTCCATCTCCGCTGCCTCAGCTGTGGATTCAGGCTCAGGGAGGTGAGTGCAGATCCCTGGACAAGGAGCTGGGACAACTCCTTGCTGTCAGATGCCATTATCCAGGTTTATTCCAGTGCCAAAGGACAAACCTTGAGGAAGGAGAACTTGCTCCAACCTCATCCCACCAAATCCTCTCCCGTTTTTTTTCCACAGGCTCCATCCCTGCAGGGCTCACTTACAGTGGAGCGTCCTGATTGTTTCTTGGGACGGGCACAAGGAGCTTCCTTGCTCCGAGCAGGCGTCTTCTGCTGCTGCAGGATGGGAAAAAGTTTGGCAAGATGGGAAAAGGTTTCGCAATTCCAGAGGGAGCTCAAGTGCAGGGAAGAGCCGCATGCAAGGGGAAGTTATGGAGCAGTGGGGAACAGCATTGCACTCCACACAAACATTCCCCCAGGAATTCTGGGATCTTCTCCACAAACAGCTCGGTGTCTGCAGGGAGCTCATGCAGCGCTGTGGGCTCATCACACCATGCCAGTCCTGATGCTCATAGGATAAAAATCATGGAATTACAGAGGTGGGAAAATCCCTCTGAGCCCCATGGAGTTGCACGAAGGCCATCACTGAGTGTGTCCCGATGTGCCAGATCCACAGGGATGTTCAATCCCTCCAAGGATGGGGATTCCACCTCCGTTCCTTTCCATAAGGAATTTTCCTAACATTCCAGCTAAATTTCCCCTCTGGTAGTTTCCTCTAATCCTATCCCTCATTTCTTAGTAGTAGATACTGATTCCCATTTGGGAATCCTGTCAGGGATTTGTGGGAGTGAGAAGGTCCCCCCTGAACCTAATTTTTTTTCCCAGGCTGAGCCCTCCCAGCTCCCACAGCTGCTCCTGGTCCTCCAGACCCTTCTCAATCCATTCCTTTCCCAGGAAACAATTCCAGCCCCTCCATGTCCTTGTCATGAGAGCCCAAAACTGATCCCAGGATTGGAGGTGCCCCAGCAGTTCCAGCACACACAGAGGAGATTTTTCTTCCCTGTCAATAATAATTCCTCAAAAAAAAAACAGAGGGAAGAGCATGGGAAGTGTGAGGGATACCTGTCCCAAGCTGAAGCAATCAAGAGATCATAACTGGAACCCTTAAGACAATCCAAGAGACACAACCATGACCCAAATCCTCAAAAATTAT